AGCCATTTTTGTGAAATCTCATTAACAAAAGAATTATCATCACGAGTTGACTTGCCAATGTTGTTTTCATTATTACATTTCGTAAAGTGCCAAAAGAACTCTTCGTAATTATTCGTATCGTACTACTTTGATGGACACTTGCATGCATGAATAGCATTTTAATTATTTTTACACACACGCACATACATATATACGTATATGAATTTCATGATGATCAGGTGTATATTTGGACCGACTAATCAACTTTCAGAGTTAATGACTCATCGATGGGTATGTATCCATACATGTACAGTTGATAGATCTACTGTTTACATCATTTAAGGTACATGTGTTTGATGACATGTTTCACGCAGATACAGTCACACACTCACGCATATATACTTATTAGTTCATGTACGTATGTGTGTGTACAAATGGCCAAACAAAAGTGTCTACATTCGTAATGTACTTAGATTTTTCCAACTAACTTTTTGCGACATTACATTAACTTGTGTTACAAAAGGAACTTAAATGTATGTATTAGTTACCTTTGTTGTTGAAAAACTTTTAGCAATTTTTGTCGTAAAAAAAACTTATTTGTTGTTGAAATGTTCAAAAATGTATGTATTTCTGAAATTACCCCAAAGAACATGGCTTTTCTACAAATTTTAAAAGTAATGTGGATTTTTTTTTTTTGTGTGTGAAACAAAGTAATGTGGATTTCGACTGAAAACTTATATATAATTTTGTTAGAAATCTTGCTGGTGAACAAAATCTTTAGTGTTTATATAAAATTGGAGATGCTGGCCTTTAGTGGGAATGTGAAGCATATGTAGAAAAATATATGGAATAATTAGCATATTGTCTCATTGGTGTCCCCTGGTTTTCACTCGCAATTTTTTTCCTTCTTAAAGCTACATATCCGTAAAATCTCATAATTACTTTTAAACATTTTTGCGCCATTTTTTGTATCATTGAATAATTCTCATGCGTCACCTCTTAGACAGCCAATTACGATATTATCTGGTTTGTTCATCATGAATTGATTCCGTTGACAAAAAAAACAAATTGCATCCACAAGAACTATAAAAAATCACATTTCATATACACTACAAGAAAACATTCTAATTTTGACAATCAATTTAGTCTAAAATTAGTCAAAACAGCTATTTCTAACTACTATTTGACCAAAATCGATTCGTAAAAAACCGATAGTCGCATATAGAATTTGGTTAGAAAATAGTCAAAATTTTGGTGTGACCAACAAAGTGGTCAAAATTTTGATTCTGACCAATAAAATCGTCAAAATTTTTTGATCAATCAAAATGGTCGGAACTATGACAAATTTTAGACCATATATTCAATTTTTGACCAATTTAGATATTTAAATTTTAGAACTATATTTTGATCAATTCAAAAATATTGAAATTCAAATTTAAAATATTTGATTCATAATAACTAAAATTAAACTAAATATTTAAAAAAATTAAAATATAAAATATTTCAAAAAAATAAATTCGAAAATATAAAAATTCAAATTTAAAATATTTGATTCATAAAAATTTCAAAATATATACTCAATCATCGATTAAATATTTCAAAATTCAACTATTTGGGCCATGAATCCCATTTACGTTTTTCACAATGGAGTAAGTGTTATTTTATAGTGAAAGTCAAAGTTTCATCCCTCCCATATTGGCGATGTGGGAAAAATACAATAGAAGTGTTCTCCTCAATATTTGGTAGATAATGTTGTGACCAATTTCTATCAAGTATTTATTAGTCAAAAATTACTTACGAAGTTTCGATCAAATTTTGTTTTAGTCGATAAATGGTAAGAATATTTTTGACTATTTACTTACCACTTGTATTAGTCAAAAAAAATTTGGATCATATTTTGACGAGTTTAAATTTTCATAATTTTTTGGTCGAAAATTTGTCAACAAACATTTTGACCAATTTATTGGTAAAAAATTTGGTCAAAATTAACATATTTTCTTGACCAATTTTCAACCAATCTTATTTGTCGCAAGTTTTCGACCATTTTTTGACAAATTTACGAATTCGTTAAAATTGGTCGAAAAATTTTGACAATTTTCGACTCTTATATTTCATCATATTTTTTTGATCAATTTATAACGAAATTAAATATTCGTCTAAAATTGGTCGAAAATGGTCAAAATAGTTTTGACCACAAAAAAAAATTGGTCAAAAATTGATATGTTTTTTTGTAGTGATAGCGTGTAACGAAACAATAAAATATATGCAGATAATCTAAAATGCGCTTTAAATAATTATTATGTATAAATTTGTTGATTTAAAGAATTGATTTATATTTGTTACAAAAGAACTAATTTAGATTTCGTTGAGCCAAACCATGATTGGATGATCGATACCAAAAAGACAAGAGTCTTTTTCTCGTTTGACTCTTAGTGTATTATATAAATCAGATTTTTCCTCAACGGTTGGCAAACTAAAGTGGACAAATTACTGAAGAGTTTTCCAGGCTGTTAAACCATTTTCAACATATCATTTTCTAAAAATTAATTAAACTGCCTGTAATAGAGTTGGTATAGTATTTTTCCAAAAAAAAAAAAGAGTTGGTATAGTTGTCTTTACAGTATTTTCATGTGATGCAAGAAATTAGATTCGCTTATTTTGATTGATATTATTATTCGTAATAATAAGCAAATTTAATCAATATTTTTCTATATAATATACTAAACAATAAAAAGAAAAAAAAATTCAATTAATCATTTTTATTAAATATATATTTTTAAATATATTTAAAATTTAATATTTTCGGCTTTATCTATTATTTTCACTGTTATAATATAGAAAATATTTTTATTTAAGCGGTAAATATTTTGAATAGTTTATCAATATAATAGAAAATATGCCATGAAAAGGGTATATTTGACCCAATCAAATAGTTTAAAGTTATATTTTTATTTAACTAAATTATATCTAATACATTATTTTTACATTTTATGTAGAAAAAGAGATCACATAAGATTTTTTTTATTAAATTTAGTCCAATCAACATAGTTTCATATTTTTTCCTTTTTCTAACATTTTTGTATTTATTATATATATGTACTAGTACTAGTCTAGTTGTAATACTACAATATATATAATAACTTGGAAAATTTAATTGGTATATATCATATTTTCTATTAATAATACAAAAAAATTCTAAACATTAAATATGAAATTTTGATATATTCATTAAATTATTTTTCTGATACATAATAAATAACTATTGAGAAAAGAAATTTCGACATAGTGGTGTCTAATATGTTATGATATATATATCTACATTAAAAAAATTCACCAACAAAAAAAAATATCTACATTAAAAAATGTCTAAAACATGATTTACATTGTAAAGAAAAAGTAAAGTTTTTCTCAAAAAAGGAACATGAAAATATATATGTGGTGATTTGCAAAGCCAATATATTGAGTGAGGGTGGAACCCTCATATATTGAGTGACAAAATATGTGAGGCCATAAGAGGATA